AGTTCTGCCTGTCGGATTTGGCGGAGGTGTCTGCAGCTTGATGTTTCGGATGAGAGTGCCCTAAACCCTAAACCCTAAACCCTAAACCCTAATCCCTAAACCCTAAACCCTAAACCTAAGCCCTAAACCCATTGTGCCTAAACCCTGAACTTGAGGGCTCCCCCAGCACGAAAAGGGTTTGGGGCTTCGGGCTTTTATGATAGGGTCGATATAGGCTTAGGGGGTAGGGATTCATAGCCACCACGCGGTTGCAGCAGTAGCTGCGCTTTTCGGCGTACGCTCCCAGGCGTCTTTGGTGCGAGTCGGCGTATCAACGCCCGACTACGCTCAAGCTCGGCCTACAGAGAGCTTTTCAGTTACGAACTACTTCTGGAAACACACGAAGTTATGACCATGTAGCAATCTCCGGAAGAAGAGGGCTGTGGCTACCCTGATGCCCCAAAAACCCTAAACCCCAAACCCACGCCCATTAACCCTACAACTCCTCGTCGCCCGTATGTGGGAAGTCTCATCGGCCACCACGCCCTGGGTAACGAGGCCTGCGCGGCGCCTGTGCAAAGTCTCGGAAGGTAGTTGCATGGGCTCTTCAAATGATCCCTGAACTCCTTTGAAGTTGAAGGGTTTTGATGTATGGCCCCTACATTTGTATAGGCGATATCAGGGGTATACAAGGCTTGATCAGCTCGTCCTAGTGTACTTGGAGGGTCATGGGTCCCAATGATATATACTTATGAGTTTAGGGTTTAGGGATACAAGTAGGGTTTAGGGTTGCAACTAGAGTTTAGGGGTACGAGTGCAGTTCTAACCCTCATTACAGTTTGACTTGTAAGCAGGTTATCGGTCAAATTGGGGCTACAAGTACAGTACCCATGACTTTCAAGTATTGTAGGGTTAGAGACGGTCCTTGATATGGGTGATTCGAAGGGTTTGTATAGGGTTGTGATAGGGGAGTGCTTTTTGATAAAAAAGGGTTTACAAAGGTTGTCAGAGGGCTTAATGGGGTTAGAGGGGCTTATGTTCCGACGGTTTTTACAGATCGAGGCGAACAGAAGAGATTCGAGGGCTTATGGGGTTTGTAGGGTTTTAGGCGCAGGGTTGAAGGTGTAGGGTTTTTGGTTCCGGGTCTATAAGGTCCAGGGTTCTAAGCCTCCCTCCAGGAGCCTCGGAATCCCAGACACATCCTCAAAGCCTAAACCCTAAACCCTAAACCCTAAACCCTAAACCCTAAACCCTAAACCCAATGTGGGCTTAACGGGTTTTAAGGGCCAAGCCTTACAGATCCTTCAAGCAAGGGGGAAACACGTTACGTGTGGGGTCCCAGGGTAGGTTTAGGGTTTAGGGTTGAGGGCCTACACTCCTCATTCAATCAAGCAGCGAAGCAGAAGATGGGCCTAGGAGGTTTAGGGTTTAGGGTTTAGGGTGTAGGGTTTAGGGTTTAGGGTTTAGGGTTTAGGGTTTAGGGTTTAGGGTTTAGGGTTTGAGGATTCGATGACTGGTGCTCAGCACCCGCGTGGACCGAGCCTCGGGCCCACTTCCTTCATCTAGGGGTAGGGTCTTTATACTGGTTTAGGGCTTGGCAAGGTGATCACCTGGTGGACCTCACGCCTCGATCGGTAGGCACTTGGCACGGAGACACCCGTCGAGCGCCTCAGACGCATGCTGGTAGCTCTCCGGCGCTGTTCCTCCTTTCCTCCTCGGGTGCCTGAGCTAGCTTCTTCGTTGCCTAAACCCGCAACCCAAGCCTAGCCCAAAACCCTAAACCCTGTGCCTTCTTCACATGTCACGTGGTGGCAGCGAAGGCAGACAGAAAAAAAGGTCCCAAGTGACATCACGTTTAGGGTTTAGGGTTTTCAGGGTTTTTGGGTTTAGGGGTTAGGGCTTAGGGTTTTCAGGGTTTTCAAGGTTTTTTTGGGTTTAGGATTTAGGGTTTAGGGTTTAGGGTTTTTTTTCAATTTTGATTCAAGTAATTTCAAATGATTCCATACTATCGCAGCACGACCGTGGGCTGGTCTCTCTGGAGTGCCCGCGATCTTCCGCTGCCCTTCCTGTATTCCCTGCGAAACCCTAAACCCTAAACCCCTAAACCCACCGAATCTGAGGAATATTCCCCATCACAATAAAGGCTACTGTAACTATAACCATAACTATAACTACAACTATAACTATAGCTATAACTAGAACGACTATAACTATTACTAGAACTATAACTATAACTATTACTATAACTATAACTATTACTCTTACTATAGCTATAAAACTTCATGGTACGAGAATTTTTCACTTCAGGGCTCTGAACCCTGAACCCTTGCGCCTGCGAAGGAGCAGACACTGACAGGCCGTGGTGCTCGTAGAGATCCTGGAGAGGGTTTAGGGTTCAGGGTTTAGGGTTTAGGGTTGAGGGTTGAGGGTTGAGGGTTTAGGGTTTAGGGTCTGTCGCGGGATGCCCGGCTCCGAGATGCGGTTGAGAGTTTAGGGTCCTAAACCCGAACCCCCGCCGTTGCTATATAGGGTTTAGGTCTTCGATAGGGCGTTTAGGCATTCATAGTGTCCTACGCCCCCTCAACCCTTAACCCTAACCCTAAACCCTTCTGAGTAGCACGACCCGCCTTCATGAGGACCTCGCGTTGGTGGCAGGGGCCGAGAGCACCCAGCAGCTCTTCCAGGCACTGTGCTTCGACCTGGTGGAGTTGGGGCTCAGGGTTTAGGGTTTAGGGTTTAGGGTTTAGGGTTTAAGGTTTGGGGCTTAGGGTTTAGGGTTTAGGGCTTAGGGTTTAGGGGTTAGGGGTCAGGGCTTAGGGTGTAGGTATCTTGGTTCTCAGGGTTTCGGGGGTGTGCTTCGAGCTTTCAAGGGTACAGGGATTAGGGGTTTCAGGGGGTTAGGGGTTGAGGGGTGGGGATTAGGGTTTAAGGCTCAGGGGTTTCCGGTTTAGGGCCGGGACTCTCTTTGCCTGCAGGTTAGTACTAGTTTCCCTTTACCTAGTACACGTATGTGAAACCCGTAGAACCACCCTGCAAACCTCGCAAGGACCCTAATTAGACCCTGCACCCTAAACCATAAACCCCAAACCCTAAACAAAAAAACCACTATATATCCCTAAACCCTAAACCCTAAACAAAAAAACCACTATATATCCCTAAACCCTAAACCCTAAACCCAAAAACCTAAACCCTAAACCCTAAACCCTAAACCCTAAACCCTAAATCCTAAGGGGGGTTTTTTGGGTAGCGCTGGGCCGCCGGCTCCTGGAGCCGCGCCCTGCGTCTCTTGCAAGCAGTGGCCCTGCCTTGGGTTTGGCAGGAGATCGGCTCGGCTCCAAACCCCCAAAATCCCTAAACACTCTCAGGGTGGGGCCCCCTAGTTCTAAGTAGAGTTATAAGGGCCCTAAATTGGGTTATAAGGACCCTAAGTTAGGTTATAAGTCCCTTAACTACAGTTAGTTTAGTAAGGGGGCCCCACCCTGATACCTGTAGGGTGCGTAATTACAAGGCTACTGTTTTGGGTTTAAACCCGAAATCCCTAAACACTACTGTAGGGTGCGTAATTATAAGGCTGGTGTTTAGGGTTTAGGGGTTTAGGGGTTTAGGGGTTTAGGGGTTTGGGGGTTTTGGGGGTTTTGGGGTTTAGGGGTTTGGGGTTTAGGGGTGTGTGTGTAACCCATGGTTCCCTAGTACTCCGTACTACTCCCTAAGGTTCCCGAAGCTTTTGTAAGGTTCCCTAACTTACCCCCGCGAACCCCTCCCGTAAGGACCCTTAGCAATACAAACCCCAAACCTCTACAAATCCAACCTTTCAGACCCCTAAACGCCAGAAACCCCAAAAAAAGGCCCCGATCTAAAACCTTAACCCGAACCCCCATCGTCGTGACCGAAAGCATCCCAAAACCCTGCAGAAAGCTTGGGGGGGGCCGCAAACCTTCAAGCCCTCATCCGCACAAGGTTAGGGTTGGCAAAATCCGACGAAAAAAAAACCTTACACAAACGCCACAACACACTACAAAATCCTACAGAAGCCCTACAAAGATCCGACAAAAACCCTACACTTAAATTGACAAACCCTACACGAAGCCGACAAAAGTCCCATGAGCCTTATAAACCCTACAAAAGTCACCCAGAACCCTACAAATACCCTACAAGAACCCTACAAAAAACCCTACAACAACCCTGCAAAAACCCTATAAACCCTAAACCCTAAACCCTAAACCCTAAACCCTAAACCCTGCCAACCCAGGGTTCCGGCAGGTGGTAGGCGCACCGCGCCACGGCCAGCGCCTTGTCGTTGAGGCCGGACTGGAGACAGCCCCGGAGCATGACCTTGGGCTTAGGGTTTAGGGTTTAGGGTTTAGGGTTTAGGGTTTAGGGTTTAGGGTTTATAAGGTATATATTGACATCAATGAATGAACGCAGTGAATGCACGAATGAAGGAAGTTCAGGGTTTAGGGTTTAGGTTTAGAGGTCTTTAGGGGTTATAGGGTATTTGTTATGTGCACCAGCATTCACGCTACCCCCCCCCCCCCCCCCCGCCTCATCCCCGCAATAGTATCCCCCCACCTCCTGTGGTTCATGGTTTTGTTTAGTATTTGGGTTTAGGGTTCCCCCCCTGTAATTCATGGTCTGTTGTTCATGGTGCTGTTAAGGTTAGGCTGGAGGGCCTAATTAGGGATTTCACTTTGCCCCCCGTGGTGGTTCATGGTGGCTTTAGGGTTTAGGGTTTCCTCTCCCCCCTGTAGTTGGAATGCGGCGGAAGTTCGGCAAATCCTCCATTTCTTCGGGTCTTTCCTCGGTATTTGCGACAGTACCTCCCTTTCTCCAGCACACAATTGCGGACTGTATTATACACTTCTGCAATTCTTTGCTTCATCGTTTGTTTTCTGCTCTCTGTGTCGGTTTACCCGCGTCTTTGCACATTTCGCAGCTTCCTTCGCTTTCGGAAGGGCTTTTGGCATTTTATGGTTTCGGTCTGTTCGTGTTCTTGGCGTTTCGGCTTCGTGCTTTCCACAAAGTTACTTCTCACGCTCGTTGCTCTTGCAGGCCTTTTGGTGCTTCATGTCTTGGGATGCTTGGCTTGTGCGTTGCTTCACAGCTTCGAAGCACCCGATGCTATTTTTGTTCATCTCGATGGTTGAGGGGAGCAGGGGGGAGGGGGACCTTGGTTGGGTTCCCTAAACCCTAAACCCTAAACCCTAAACCCTAAACTCTAAAACGGGGTTCAAGAAACCTCAAGACAGTCGGCTGCAGGGTGCGCTTTTGGGGCGCAGGCAGCAAGCCCGAAAAGAAGCACAGACACAGTACAACGCCCTGAAGCCCTGAAGCCGAGAGAGACCCATAGAGGAACTAAGCCCCTAAACCCTCAAACCCTAAACCCTAAACCCTAGACCCTAGACCCTAAACCTAAACCCTAAACCCTAAACCCTAACCCTAAACCCTAAACCCTAAACCCTAAACTCTAAAATGGGGTTCAAGAAACCTCAAGACAGTCGGCTGCAGGGTGCGCTTTTGGGGCGCAGGCAGCAAGCCCGAAAAGAAGCACGGACACAGTACAACGCCCTGAAGCCCTGAAGCCGAGAGAGACCCATAGAGGAACTAAGCCCCTGAACCCTCAAACCTTAAACCTTAAACCCTATACCCTAGACCCTAAACCTAAACCCTAAACCCTAAACCCTAAACTCTAAAACGGGGTTCAAGAAACCTCAAGACAGTCGGCTGCAGGGTGCGCTTTTGGGGCGCAGGCAGCAAGCCCGAAAAGAAGCACAAGCACAGGCACAGTACAACGCCCTGAAGCCGAGAGAGACCCATAGAGGAACTAAGCCCCTAAACCCTCAAACCCTAAATCCAAAACACCCTTTAAGGCAAATAGACCGATGGATTGAGGTCGTTTCCCTTTTCATGGGTCTCTAGGTTCAACCTAGGACTCTCACCTCAAAATCTGAAAACCCCTAAAGCCCCCTTAATCCCTGTAACCCCCCGTAAGCACCCCCAAGCCCCCAAGCCCCCTAAACCCTAAACCCTAAACCCTGAACCCTGAACCCTGAACCCTGAACCCTAAACCCTAAACCCTCAGCCCCCCCCCCCCCACCCCCGCTGGGAGTCGGTGCCGTGTATGTCTTCTCGTCAGGGGAGCAGCTTCCGCCCTTCACCACCTGGCAACAGATGCTCCCCCCCCCCCCCCCCCCCATTTACCTTAAAGGGTACAGAAGTTAAAGAACTGCGCGCACCCCCAAAACCCTAAACCCAAAACCCTAAACCCTAAACCCGGCCCCCCAAAAAGGTTGAGAGCTTGATGGGAAGTTCTAGGGTTTAGAGTTTAGGGTTGTTTTGGGGATTTGGGGATTAGGGTTTCGGGATTGGGGCTTGAGGGTTTACGGAGTTCTTACGGCTTAAGGCTTCAGGCATTAGGGTTGTTAAGGCTTTTCTATGGATTAGAGTTTAGGGTCTTTGGGCTGAGGGCCTTCAAGGATTGTAGGGATTAGGGTGTATGAAAAGGTGGTCTAGGGCTTCAGAGACGAACTCCACGCTGGAACGCTAATTCGCTAATGGCCTGGTCGTGAAGGGTCAGCACTCGGTGGCACTGGCGATTGTGGATGCATGCTTGCATGAGGCAGGTGTAGACCTGGCTTGGCAAGAGTAGGATCTAGGGTTTAGGGTTTAGGGTTTCATGGGAAAAAGGGCTGAGGCTTAATTCCTACCTATGCTTCTCGAAGCCCTGAACCCCAAAACCTCACCCAACACCATGGAATCCACATACGCAAGCCTAAGCGCTAAGCTCCAAACCCAAAAACCCCTAAACCCTAACCCCCAAACCCTTAACCCCAAACTTAGGGTTTAGGGTTTAGGGTTTAAGGCTTAGGGTTCTTAACCCCACAAACTTACGAACTCCAAACCATAAGCCCGGCTAAGAACCAGCAAGATCACACCGTTTTTGCCTCAATCCTAAACCCTAAACCTAAACCCTAAACCCTAAACCCTAAACCCTAAACCCTAAACCCTAAACCCTAAACCCTAAACCCTAAACCCGAATGGGTTGGAGCTTCGGGTTTCAGGACTTAGGGTTTCAGGATGTTGTGTGGCTTGGGGCTTCAAGGCCTTTGGGGGTGCAAGGTTTAAGGTCTTGGGGTTTAGGAGTTAGGGTAGCTAAACCCTAAACCCTAAACCCCAAACCCTAAACCCTAAACCCTAGGCCCTAAACCCCTAAAACCTGAAACCTGAAGCTAGTTTAGGGGTTTAAGGTAGTGGGGATAGGCTTCGAGAGACGAGAGCCCACTTTGGGGCTTAGTATCCCTGAGATCTCCCAAAATAATGAACCCAGAAGCCCCCCCTTCGGGTCCTAGAACGTCCTCTAGCACTAAACCCTAAGACTCTAAACCCTAGCCCTAAACCCTAAACCATAAACCCTAAACCCTAAATCCTAAACCCTAACCCTAAACCCTAGCCCTAAAGCCTAAACCCTACAGCCATGAAACCCCAGGGCCCCTGCCTGGATGTTGGCCTTGAAGCCGTACTCCTGGCGTCGCTTGGACGTGGCGGTCTCAAGATTTCCGGTTGAGGGTTTAGGGTTTAGGGTCACCCCTAAACCCTAAACCCTAAACCCTAAACCCTAAACCCTAAACCCTAAACCCTAAACCCTAAACCCTAAACCCTACACGCTAGACCCTAAACCCTAAACTCATTGTGTTTAGTGGAGCTTCCTAGGGAAGCCTAACCCCGTGCACAACGTTATAAGGCACGGGGCATTGTTGAAGTTGGGCTTAGGCTTGCTTTCCCCCACAACCAAGGTCAAGCTAAACCCTACAAACCCTAAATCCTTAACCCCAAGCTTGTATCAGTGCAAATTGCGGGTATAAGAACGCATACCCTCAACCCTAGACCCTAAGCCCTAAAATTGTAAGTACAGTAATTGGGCCACGAAATTCCAAGAGCGGTTCCCCAAACCGCAGCTCCTGCGTGAAGCTCTGCACCAGGCTACAGGCCTGATCCAGTCGCCTGGCCACGTTCCACAGCCCCACGTCTACTCTACGAATTCAATACGACTCCATGTGGAGTTTAGGGTTTAGGGTTTAGGGTTTAGGGTTTAGGGTTTATGTAGAGTCCTTAGGGGAAGGGGTTTCAAGGGGGGGTACATAACCCAAGGTTCCCTGATACGGACCCCGCTATTCTCTAGGTTCCCTAAATACCTACCCCCATGAACACCCCTCCTTTAAGGGCCTAACGAAAAACTCGAAGGTGGGTGGGTCGATATCAAGTAGAGACATAAAAGTACGACAAACAGGGGACATAAAGGTAGACGTAAGAGTTAGGGATATCGGTACCTTGAGTAGGATTCTCACGTGCTAAAATCTGCTGCATGGGCATGGTCTCAGTCTGGTGAGACAGTCAGCTTCGGGAGGGGTGATGGCCCGCACCCCCCAGCTTGCTCTCAAGGCTTCATCTTGGGGGGGTACAGGGTGAGGCCCCCTAGTTATAAGTAGAGTTATAAGGGCCCTAAATTGGGTTATAAGGACCCTAAGTTAGGTTATAAGTCCCTTAACTACAGTTAGTATAGTAAGGGGGCCCCACCCTGTACCTGGATTACGGTTCTAGTGGGCTGCAAGTGCAGTAGCCCTACTTGCCACCGCCTCGTGTAAGACTTGTACAGCTGCATGTAGGGTTCCGTGCGGGAGGACGCAGAGATGACCGTTGCAGGGCACTGCTGCCGCCACAAGGGAAGTCGAGGGATGTTACCCCAACCGTCGTCACCTTTTTGGGCTGCTTGGCTGCTGTTGTGTCATCCCTCTCCCAAACTTGTAACCATGAACCCGAACCCGAAACCCAAACCCTGCAAACCTTGAATCAAAAAACGCACCAAAACTACCCCCAACTTCTGTAAACTGTGCACCCTAAACCCTATACCCTAAAAACCCTAAAAGAAACCCGAAACCCCATTTAAGGACTCGAGCCTAAATCCTAAAATAACACCTAAATCCGAAATCCTTAACAAAAAAAACAATGCAAGTAAAAACCCTGCAAACCCTGACCCCTGGACCCGCCAAAGGAACTACAATGGAAAGTCCAGGTGCGCCCTTGAGGGGCCCGGGAAAGCCTGCCCATGGTGATCAGGGACCCTAAGCCCTAAACCCTTTCAACCCTCAACCCTCAACCCTCAACCCTAAACCCTAAACCCTAAACCCTAAACCCTAAACCCTAGCTAAGCCCCAACCCATACCCTAGACCCTAAACCCTAAACCCAAAACCCTTGGGAGAGTTCTTTTTGGTTAGGGGCTTTTTGGGTTGTTTTAGGGAGGAAAGGCTTTTCACTTAAGGGCCTTTAGGATTTGTTTGTTGGGTTTTTAGGGGAAGCCCTGCCCCTGCCGGTCTTGCGCCTGGCGCGGCCGAGCAGTTTGCAGAGGATGCTGAGCGTGTAGTTTGAAGGCACGACCTGAAAGGCACCCTAAACCCTGATCCCTAAACCCTAAACCCTAAACGGTGGCTCAAGCAGGGATTTTGGGGGTTTTGGGTTTTTAGGGTTCGGGTTTTTGGGGGTTTATGGATTGTGGGGTTTGGGGTTAAGGGTTCCATCCAGTCATCCCCCTGGAGGGTTTGGGGTTTAGGGGTTAGGGTTTACATCCGAAGGGACCAAACACTTGGTGTGCGACCCCCTGCGTCTTCATCTCCTCCAGCAGGGACAGCGCTTCGTCCACGCGCGACTGCTTGGCACAGCCGTCCTCAGATGTCTAACCCTAAACCCTAAACCCTAAACCCTAACCCCTAAACCCTAAACCCTAAAACCTTTCCCAAGGAAGCCCAGTGTGAAAAACACGACAGCTCGGCAAGGTTGAGCTAGAGCATCGTCTACCAATCTGCAACAAGTGTAGACCTTAGGATGTTCCCCCTTATACTAACAGTCCTTCATAGGGATTCTAATTGGGTTTAGGGTTTAGGGTTTAGGGTTTAGGGTTTAGGGTTTAGGGTTTAGGGTTTAGGGTTTAGGGTTTAGGGGGTGGGTTTTTTGGGGTTTAGGGTTTAGGGATGTTCCCCCTTGTACGAACAGTCCTTAATGAGATTCTAATAGGGGATACAAGAATCCCTTGCCAAAGTGGGGACCCCATCGGGTTCTTGGTATCAAGCCTTCGCTTATTGCTCATAAACATACGAAAATTTAGGTACAAACAGCGGGAACTCGAAATGTTGCAGTCTAACAACCCTAAGGTAGCATGATCATCCATGGCCCTAAGCCAGGGCCGGGCGCGGAGCCAACGAGAGGCTTCAGGGTTGAGGGCTTATTACTATGCTCAAGAAGCCCCCCCCAAAAAACAACTATTAAAGATAATCATCCATATATTCCCCTTACAAGGAAGAATATCTTTATTTTTTTAGGGGGGGGGGGTCGTAGTTTGTAGGGCTTCGTCTGCAGACGGGCCGCCAGCAGACTGTTGTAGAGAACCTCGCAGCACACGTTGGCATCTCCAGACAACTCACAGCCCCCTAACGAGGTTCAGGGCGTTTAGGGTTTAAGGGTTGAGGCTGGAGTGCTTAGTAGCTTAAGGTTGCGGGTTTAAAAGGTTCTCTCGAGGTTTGTGCTGCAGCGTGGTTAGTTTAGCTCCTGTTTGATCAAGTCTTTCGGGAAGTGTGTCAAACATCCGCGTACTATACACTATATGGGAATTTCCCAAAATAGGGGCACCCCTTTTATACCCCAAATAGAACAAAATCCCCTTGAAGGGCCCCCCCCCCAAAAAAACATAAAAACAAAAAATAAACAGGGTACCCCTAGGACCGGAAAACCCCTATATCGAAGATCCGCATACTATATTATATCTTGGCTGCACTCAGGAGGGTAGCTATAAATTAAACTTTTAGCTGCCTTAATAGGAAACCCAATAAACCCAAAAAAGGGTAAGGATATAAAGTTACAGTAAAGTACCACAAAGATATGTGAGGCCACGATGCTTTGAAGCGTTTTGCTCCGGGATAGTCGTTCGGGCTATGGAATAAAAAAAGATTTCAGGCATGAATGGGTGCAGCAACCCTAGACCCTACACCCTGAATCCTAAACCCTAAACCATAAACCATAAACCCCAAACCCTAAACCCTAAACCCTAAACCCTAAACCCACCCTGAACCCGTAGGGCTTTGCAAGCCCTTTGTGTATGAACACCGTACCCCTTCTGCTATGCGACTTCATCGCTCTGATGCTCGCACTCCTTGCAACGAGCTCTATAACCCCTGCTCAACCTCCCGTCCTGAAATCTTGAGACCCTCCACCAGCCTAAACATCAAGAGTCCCATTCTAAGGGCGCTATACTATATGTACTGATAACCATGAAAACGGCTTCATAGCAAGAGCCTGTCTACCACTAGGGGCTTTGCGGGGGCAGTTCCAGGAATGTTTACTGTTCTCTTGTTAAGGAACTAAAAAGATGTTATAAGATGTTGCCACAATAGGGAGATGTAGCAAAAGAACTCCCGTGCCCTTGTTGCGGGTAACCTGTGGCATAATCAAGTTCCTTCAGCGCCTCGTCAGGAGTCACGGCATTGCTCTTCCTCATCTCCTTGAGGAGTGCGAAGGCCTTGTCCTTAGCAGTCAAGGTCTGATCATGGCCGTACAACTCTCCCTCCTGAATTGGGCTGTTCCTCCTTATTCTACAGTCCTTATTAGGGATTGTAGTACCCCCCCGCCCCCCCTACTATAATCAAGATTAAGGGCCCCTCAACCCGAAGCCCTGTTGGGGGCCCTGCTGGCGAAACACCCATTTGAGGTCCCGTCAGGGCGGATGGCAGGGGCCTGTCGACCATTCTCTACGAGGTATCTTCCCTAAACCCTGAACACTTAACCCTAAACCCTTAACCTATGAACCCTAATTTTTCAACCCGCAGATTTGAGTAATCTGGTTTTGTTTGGAAGCTGGAATTAAGCTAGTGAACCCGTAAAGGGAATCTAGGGGGTCTGTGCCGGCTATTTCGGGGCTACTGAGACAACTTGAACCCGGTTAACCCTCAAATCCTATACAAACCCTTCAACTAAGCCACAACAAGCCTGCTTAGCGGTAACAGGGTAGCCCTATAGCCCTTTAAGCTAAACCACAAGAAGCGTGCTTAGCGGTAACCGGGTAGCCCTAAACCCTAAACCCTAAACCCTAAACCCTAAACCCATGGTAGGAGGTGCTTGGAGTGCTGGGTAACATTTACCGCACCCCGCAGCCCTGCGCATGCTTGTTGAGGGTTGAGGGTTCGGGGTTTGCTTAGAACTTTGGGTTTAGAATGTAGGGTCTAGGGTTTAGGGTTTAGGGCTAGGGTTTGAGGGTTGAGGGGGAGCTCAGATTCAGCAACTTTCCTCTCACTGTCAGGGTTGTATTAAGGTTTGCAGCATTGAGGGTGAGGGTTTAAGGCTTAAGGTTCAAGGTTTAAGGTTCAGGGTTTAAGGCTAATGTTTAAGATTTAAGGTTTGAGGTTTTAAGTTGAAGGCTTAAGGCTCAGGTTTAAAGGGTTTAGGGTTTAGGGTTCTAGGGTTTAAGGTTTAAGGTTTAGGGTTTTAGGGTTTGGGGTTTGGGGTGTAGGGTTTAGGGCTAGGGTGGGTAGCATTCTTCGGATCGCAAGCACTGAGCCCCCCAGCGACGTCTCCCGCCATGCAGTATCCCTGCGGCTCTCTCGCTGAGCTACTGGTCTTCACAGGGTTCAGGGTTTAGTGTTTAGGGTCTAGGGTCCTAGACCCAACAGCAACCCAGGAACACAATGGGTGCCCTTTGTTGGTTTTAAGGGGGCCTATAAGGGAACCTAAACCCGAAGAAGAACCACCTGAATTTGAGTTTTAAGGGGCTTCCCTGGGAACCTAAACCCTCAGAAATGGGAAGACGGGCCTACTCTGCTTGAAGGTTCATGGTTAACCAATTATAACTGTACTTATAACCCTACTTATAAGTGGGATAACCCCTATAAGGCCCTTTAGGGGTATTATAAGTAGGGTTATAAGTTCAAGTACCATGAACCTCCAAGTGGGTCCTAGGCTCTGTCTGCGATCCGTCCTAGAGATGGCCGGTTCCCTACACTGGGGCTCCCTTTCGCGGCACTCCCTGTCATCATGGACCGACATCTTTAGAGGCCTCAAGGGGCCGAGACAGCGGGAGAGCTGCCCACATCTTGAAGTCTCTACACTCTGAACCTTCAAAAGCCCCTCAACACACCCCAGAAAGGGGGCCATAATTTTCGACAACTTGCCGGATGAACTGCGCCTTGACAATGGTGGAGTAGGTGACGATGTCAGGCTGCACAGGAGGGTCGCTGTCACGCATGTCCTGGCGAACCCAGTCATCGGCAGGGGGGAGTCCGAGTACCCCAAAAAACCCGAAAGCACTTCAAAAACAACCACAAGAAAAACTGCAACCCAAACACCGGAAAGAAGCCCCGCAATCTTTTCAACCTGTTCAGCCCTTCAATTCCGTACGGAAGACCGGAAGTCCGCCAAGCCAAAAACATGTCTACTAAAAAGTGAAAAAATATTTTGTTTTTAGCTTATTTTTTTGCTCCAGAAATCCTGCCAAGCCCTAGAAAGCCCGTCCCTCCCATAAGCCCCACAAACCCTCAACCCTAGCCCCCGAACCTAAACCCTAAACCCTAAACCCTTAACCCCGAAAACAAAAACACCTCAAGCCTCAAAGCCCTATAAAATGGGGCTCCTCGAGGAGCTGGGGCACCTCGTGCATCATGCCGCATCCTGGGGAAACCAGGGAGGTTTTTGTTTGGGCACTTAGGGTTTAGGGTTTAGGGTTTAGGGTTTAGGATTTGGGGTTTGGGTCCGCCGACCCTGGCGGCGTGTTGGATGGGAAAAGGAGGTGAAAACCTCCCTCTTTCCCTCCTCACCCCCCCAAAACGCGGGGGGGGGTAGGGGGGGGGTGGGGGTGGTCGTGCATACAATTTTTTTCGTGGAGGACGCCCCCGCACAGCGCGTGGCGCCTCAGCAAAATCAGTGGACCCCCCCACCCCCCCCCCCCCCCCCCCCCACCCCCCCCCACCCCACCCCACCCCCCCCCCCCCCCCCCACCCCCCCCCACCCCCCCCCACCCCCCCCGCACCCCCCCCCACCCCCCCCACCCCCCCCCACCTCACCCCCCCCCCCCCACCACCCCCGACCCCCCCCCCACCCCCCCCCCCCACCCCCCCACCCCCCCCCCCACCCCCCCCCCCCCGCCCCAACCCCCCCCCCACCCCCCACCCCCCCAACACCCCCCCCCCCCACCCCGAACGCCCCCCCCCACCCCCCCCCCCACCACCCCCCCCCCCCCCCCACCTCCCCCCCCGCCCCACCCCCCCCCACCGCCTGTCTTTTTGGCTTGCGCTTGTCCTGACCCCCCCAACGTTTCACAGGCTGGGATAGACCTCTCAACTATGCTCCAGCGGGGTCGGCGGCTTGAGCCGGAGGCTCTTAAATTTAGGGTGTAGGGTTTAGGGTTTACTCATTTGAGGCATTTAGGGGTATAGGGTATTTTGGGAATGTCATGGTTTTATTTGGGCACGTAGGGCGTAGGGTTTCGGGTGTAGGGTAATTACCTAGGCAATGTGGGGGTATTTCAGAGTATTTGGAGAAGTTAAGGTACTTAGGGTGCCTAGTGTTTTTGGGGTGTCTAGGCATGTTCGGGAAGCACGGGAAGCTAAGGTACTCAGGGTGGTCCCACAAAATCCAAGTACGAAGCGGGATCCGATGACAAAAGCTTCTCCTGGATGAAGCTCCGGACCACATTTCGCATTCCTCTGGTACACTCATGTCCCTTGCGCGGGTACTTGTCCTGGTACACGGCGTGCTCGTAGACACAGTCTATGCCATGGGTGTTGTCTGATCAGGCCAAAGGGTCGGACCAGTCACGGTTTAGGGTTTAGGGTTTAGGGTTTAGGGTTTAGGGTTTAGGGTTTAGGGTTTAGGGTTTAGGGTTTAGGGTTTAGGGTTTAGGGTTTAGGGTTTAGGGTTTAGGGTTTAGGGTTTAGGGTTTAGGGTTGATGTATGTTGAGTGCACCCAAGCACCAGGCCATGCTCCGGCAGGCTTCCCAGAAGGTCTGGGGAACTCAGCAAACTTCGGGAATTTCTGGGCATTTAGGGGCAGGAGGGTAGTTTCTGATCTTGGGTTTCATGTGACGCCGTTTAGTAGTTTTTGAGGCTGGCATGAAACAAGCTTCGAACATACCCTCAGAATCAAGTTATTGGATCTTGGGGGCGGGGTTTCTGTTATGGATTGGGATGTTCGAGGCTTGCAGTTTAGGGCCTTTGGGTTCCAGGGAGCCCAGGGCGGTTCAGGGCGTTTCAGGGCGTTTGGGTTTAATTCGGGGGCTAAGGGCTAAGGGGTTTAGGGGAGTGAATTAGGAGGCTCAAAGGGCTTTGGGCGTTTAGGGTGGTCGTTGGGGCGTCGGGGGTGTAAGACTTTTAGCTGGCTAGGGTTTAGTCTGTCTCATTTTTGTCCCTCTCCCTCTCTCTCTATCTCTCTCTCTCTCTCTCGCTCGCTCGCTCGCTCTCCCAGGAACCAGGCGGGCCAGCGCATTCAACATGGTGTTGTACCTCATGGCTCGGGCTGTCGGGTTGAGACTTCTCTCTCACCCCAGCTTTATACAACAAACCCAGGCAATGGAATACGCCTCGGCTGCCGCGTGGTCTCTTCTGGGAGGTATCCAGAATGTGGGCTTGCGGGCAAAATCGTGTCAGCAAAGTTTGAGTCTACAAGTCCCTAGAAGTAGCTGTGCCTAGATAGGGAATACTTGGGCCCCAAAGTACCCCTTGTAACCCTAAACCCTAAACCTGGACCCTAAAGCCGAATTAAACCCTAAGCCCCTGCATAGGGACTTTGGGGCCCAAGTATATAATAATAAGGTACATGGACCCTTCGGGAGTATCGTATCGCCACCTTGGTTCAAGTCGGCATGGGAAGAAGGGCAGCCTCTACTGTCCCACCATCTTCACTTAAACCCTAAACCCTAAACCCAAAATTTAAAAATCTAAACTCCCTGAACTCAATTTTTCGGGGCAGCAGGAGCGAGGTCAGGGGCTTAAGCCTCAGGGCTTTGGGCTTAGGTTTAGGATTTAGGGTGCATCGTACCAACTCCCAACAACAGCCGGTGCTTCGTCGGCCACTTTCAAGCTTGCATGCACCGCAGTTCTGAGCAGGGGCACGTGATGGTGTTGCAAGCAATTCCGCGCTCCTGCGCACCAAGGTGCTGTAGCCGCTGCATCGGGACCAAACGAACCCTGAAAGGGCTAACGTTTATGGATCTGTACCCTTGATTAGAATGAAAGTAAGATAGGGCAAATTTTGGGGTTCGTTTGGCTGTGAGGGGTGACTTCAACCGAAGAGCCTCCACCATCTCGTGCGAGAGCACGATGAACCCTAACCCTAAACGGTGCTTGCAGGCTCATGTGTACCAGCGACATGAATGGGTAGTGTAGGACAACTGCAGTTCTACCTATATAAACCATATTCTACACACACAAATATGTATATATATATATATATAAGATGTGTGTGTGTATATATATATACGTATGCCCTTTTAAAAGTAAGGTACTTCTATCCCCACTGAAACATGCCCATGATCCTTTACCTCCCCAAACACTATCGTCGTGGGCATACCCGCACCTTCATCTCCCTGTAGATGGCCACCACCTGGCAGCTACTTGGAGGGGTCGGCTTGGCCGGGGCAGGGCTTAGGGCTTAGGGTTTAGGGTTTCGGCCCTAAGCTTTCGGGTTTACGGTGTAGGGTTTGGGGTTTAGGGTTTGGGGTCGATGAAGGCCGCGCTGAGAGCTTCAGGCAGACGCGCAGTCGCTTCAAGACAGCGAGCTTTTTTGCCCCGGTTTGGGGTTTGGGGTTTAGGGTTTAAGGTTTAAGGTTTAGGGGTTAGGCGCCTGGTAATGCCTAAGTGCACTCCATTCCCAGATTACCAGTAAGGAAAGCTGCTGTTCATGGGTGCAAGGGCTTCATCCAAACAACAGAAACCATGCGAAAAGTGACTCAAGATTACTTGTTTTGTTTAAGGGTGGGTGGGGGGGTTCTACATTGATCCCCTTCCGGGGTACCGCTGTTGGTAGATCCCTTTCAAGGCCTCCACATCGAATCGTTTGAGAAGGAAACATTGAGGCACTTAGCAGGGTAGCTATAAATTTATGCTTTAGCTGCCTTGTTAAGAAATCCAACAAACCCAAAAAGGCTAAGGATCTAGACCCTAAACCCGAAACCCGAAACCCGAAACATTAAACCCTAAACCCTAAACCCTTACAGTAAAGCACCATGGAGGAATCAAAGGCGCCTTGTCATGCTGGCGCGACATGGTGAAGCCCTTTACGATGGTGGAGTAGATGACCGTGTTCACCAGGTCCTTGGGTTTAGGGTTTATAGGGTTTAGGTTTCAGGGTTTAGGTTTTAGGGTTTAGGGTTTAGGGTTTAGGGTCCTTGTGCCCAGAGCTGAGTGGAGGTCGACTAGGATTCAGTCCACCCCAAAGACCTACACCCCCAAAATCCCCAAGCGCCCTTTCAACCCAGAAATACCAGTTTTCAGACCCAGTTTAGGGCCAAAGTTTAGGGTTTAGGGTTTAGGGTTTAAGGTTTAGGATTTCGGGTTAAACCCAAAACCTATCAAAATCCCAAAACCCGCAACCCTGAACCTCAAACCGTCCCCAACAGCCCCTCCATCACCAAGTGGGCACGTGAGGAGGGACTCGTGGCTTAGGGATAACTTGGCGTCATGGGAAGTGGGCTTAGGGTTTACGGTTTAGGGTTTTGGGTTTATGGGTTTATGGGTTTATGGGTCCCTTTCTGGGTCAGCTTTTCTTTTAGCTCGGCAGCCTGATAGGATCCCCCAAAAAAGGGACCCTCATCTCGAGAACTACCCAGATAGGGGTCTGGAGGGCTTAGGGTTTCGGGCTTGCGGTTGCTAGGAGGTTGATGGGTAGAAAAAAATAAAGTTGTGAGTAGGATAGCCATAGTTACACCTATGCGTCGCCCTAGATACGCTAGTTTTAACCCTGCTTCCGAAACCCATGGGAGGATTCAAAAAGAATACAACCCCCAAGAGCACCCTATGCTACTATTGGGTGAGTCTTAGGAACCCTTAAGGGGATCTACTTTTTGGATCCTCCCAAGGTCTGGCTTACAACTGCCCGCGAAAGATCAAGTGTGGTTCACCGCCCGGCGGGCGAAACCCGGATGCCCCCCAAGCTTAAGCCCCTACACCCCTACACCCTCAAACCCTAAATAATATAAACCCTAAACCCTAAACTACCGACAATGTTCCGCTTGCCATCGTACACAGCGGGCTTTGGCTTGAGTTGGGGTATTTCGGGCTCAGGCTCTTTGAAGTTGCCACTGCTGGGCCCCAAAGCTGCCCCCCCCCCATATGTTTACAACCGGGGTTCTACAACATTCATAACTTGGGATGTTCCCCCTTCAATTCAGAGTCCTTAATGGGGATTAAAGTACCCCGATTATAATCCCTATTAAGGACTTTGTAGGGTACTGGACCCTAAACTCTACACCCCAAACCCTAAACAGTGGTCTAGGGTACGTACTAGGGGTTCAGGGTAACTCAGTACCTTCAAGAACACAAAACCCTCCCAGGCCCGGACCCTCTGCTCGTCTTTGGCCCAGATGTCGTTGACCTAACGTTGTGGGGTCTTCCCTGAACCCTACAACCCCTGGTTCTTCGTAGGGGCTGAGGGGCATAGGGGCCCTACATATACCCTTTAAGGGACAGGGTACCCCATTCCCTCATTCCCTACGAAGAACCAGCCAGCCTAAATCCTCTTCATTCAGCTGCTCAGGTTGGATTCTGTGTGGGGCCCTAAGTATGGATCCTTGCCCTGTTTGGGGGGAGTATCTCTCAAATTTGGGAACCTGGCACTTCTACAAGTGTCCGTGGCCTTTTGAAGCAGAACTTAGCTTAACATTTAGGAAGGTGTGAAGGTATAGATGGTGCAGCGTCGCTCCCCCTCCCCTCCACCCACTTACCCTAGGCTCCCTCGTAACAAGTCATACCGCGCCTCTATTCGTGCAACTGATGTGTTGGGCTGCATGTGCTTTAACCAGGCTATAATGGTCACGTGTCATAACCTCATAATCTTCGCCACTAGTTACTTTGGCTCCTGTAACTCGGATGACCCCCTTGAAAATTGCACGACCCCCCACAACCTAAAAGGTTTCGGTTTAATGTGAAGGGTTTAGGGTTTAGGGTTTAGGGTTTAAGGCTTAAGGTGTCCCTGCGCTACATCGAAAGCCCGAAGACCAAACCAAGCACCCTCTCAACCCCACGAGGACAGCACGATCTGCCAGGCTTCCCCAACGTTGTTGTTGGCCACCAAGGCCTCTGCAACAGGTCGGCCCTGAACCCTAAGCCCGGAAAACCTGAACCCCGAAGCCTAAACCTTAAATCTAAGCCCGAAGCCCTAATTTTACTCCCTAATTTGTGAGAGCTTTTTTTGAGGGGGGGAACTCTGGTTTAGGTTTATATAGGTGGTGGAACACGCTCTTGGCCTGATGGGTATTTAGGCTCTAGGCTGTTGTTGGGACTTGGAGTTGAGGGGTCGTAAGGGCTTGCGGCTTAGGCGGGGGTTTTAGGGGTTTCAGTATGCAGTGCAGAAGGATTTGGGCTTCAGAAACAGCCCTGAACCCTAAACCCTAAACCCTATGACCCCAAACCCTAAACCCAACTGTCCAGTGTCCGATGCCTCCACCATGCAGCCCAAAGTGACGGCCGTCAGCTTGACCTGGCTCGGGCTTGGAATGCGCGTGAACGAAGCCTTTGGACTTCAAAACCTTCGACAAAAGGGGGGTTTAGGGTTTAGGATTTCGGGTTTAGGGTTTTTTAGATTTATAGGATTTAGGGTGCTCATTCTACCGCCACTGTCCCTCTCTATGGTTTCGGTGACGGGCGCTGTGCTGCCTTCTGGAAGGCCTGTGCATGTCGCTTGCGGGCGAGGTTGCACCAGTTCGCGTATCATCTGCTCCTCTCCTCCCTCCCTCCCTCCCTCAAGCGTCAAAAGGAGACGGAAGAGCCAAATCGGCTTAAATCTGATGTCGAAACCCGCAAGCAAGCCAAACATGAACCAAAGAAAGCGACATGACGTCCTCGTGTGTAAAACTGAGACAATGTGTGCTGGCGCTTCCTACGCCCCAAACCCCATACCGTCATTGCAGCTCAAATAAGAAGCCCAATATTATTTATGTGCTTAGGGTTCAGGCTGGACCTAGGGCTTATAAGGATTACGGGTTTAAGGGTTTCGGGTTGCGTGGGCTGAAGGCTTAGGATTCAGCGTGGGCGTGGCGCTTAGGGTTCAGGATGTAGGTGTAGAGAGACACTGCTCAATTGACATAATTAGCCAAGACACCTTGCAAGCACTCATGTGGTTCCACAGATCCTTGACCTCGGTGATGTGTGCTTGCCCAAGCTGACGAACGCAAAAACCCTAAACACCCAAAACCCGAAGCTGTCGGGTTTAGGGTATGTGTGGAGTTTACGCTGGTTTAGGCCCCTGAGCCCCAAAGCCTAAGCCCTAAGCCCTGGCCCTACAAGAGATGATGGAAGCAAAGGCATTGGATGGGTGACGAGGCGACGACTAGGGCGGTGGATATCCCGCCCTAGCACGTGGAGATTTCCGAAATTAAAGGGGTGCCTTCTTGGGATCCCTAACTTTTCAGGGGATTTTTTTCATTCTTTTTTTGGGGGGGTCAATATTCCGGGTCCCTTCTTCTCGCAAGCCCTACGTAGGCTTGACTAGGGCTTTGGGGCTTCGGGGCTTCAGGGTTGTAAAGGTTTGGCAAGTTGCAGCTGCAGGTGGAAGGTGTCGTTTCTGTATAGAGTTCTCAAGAGAGGGGGGTTCATGGGGGGGTAAGTGTCACGGGAACCTCAGGGAGCCTGACAGAGCCTTAGGGAGTAACCCTAAACCCTAAACAACTGGCCCTAAACCCTACACCCTAAACCCCAAACCCTAAACCCCTAAACCCTAAACCCCAAACCCCTAAACCCTAAACCCTAAACCCTAAACCCCAAACCCCTAAACCCTAAACCCCTTAACCCCTAGGCCAGCGGGATCCTGAAGACTTCGTTCCTTGGCCTCCCTGCGCGTGGCACGTCGTGCGCCTGCCCGAAGGCCTTCATCATGCTGCCGTAGGTGGGGCCGGACACCTCTTGCTCTTTGTAGGGGGTTTAGGGTTTAGGGTTTGGGGTTTGGGGTTTGGGGTTTAGGGTTTATTGGGGTTTAGGGTTTAGGGTTAGCAGTCGGCAACCAGCAAACCCTAAAGCTATGGTGTTCTTCTACGTCCTAAGCCCTGAATTCAGAGCCTGCCCCCACCCCCGTTACGCTCCCTAACAATCTCAAGGTACTGAGCCCAAAACTATGAACCCGAAGCCTCAGAAACCGCAAAGCCCCACAAAGCCCTACAACACAAAATGAAAACTCCTAGCAAACCCCTAGCAAAGCCCTAGCAACGTCCTAGCAAAGCCCTAGAAAAGCCCCATGGCTTCCAAAAGCATGCAAAAGCAGCCTTGAAAATGAAAACCTATAACTCCTTCAAACCCTTTTAAGCCCCGATATCAACCCTACTACACATACTATAACATTAAAACACCCGATGACAAACCCTATACAAATCCACACAACACCCTAAACCTCAAACCCTAAACCCTAAAACCCTAAACCCTAAAATCCTAAACCCTAAAATCCTAAACCCTAAACCCTAAAACCCTATAAGCAAGCCCTTCTTGGTCTAAAGCGGTGCCTGAACAGGCTTCGGACCTGAGGTCACCTTCTTGAAGCGGTCCCACAGCCTTAGGCTCAGAGCTTTCGGGTTTAGGGTTTAGGGTTTAGGGTTTAGGGTTCAGGGTAATTAGCACTCTTCTTACTATTATATGTTGTTTTATGATTTGCTTTCTATGTCTCCTTACTCTTATATGTTGTTGCTTCTTTATTATTTGCTTTCTATGTCTCCTTGTTTTTTGTTTTTTTGGGGGGCGGGTGGGGGGGAGTGAGTGGCTGGGGTCTGTGTGATTCTTGCCCACATAAACCCTCAACTCTAAACCCTGAACCCCAAACCCTGAACCCCAAACCCTAAACCACAAACCACAAACATAACACCCCAAGCCCCAAACCCTAAACCCTGAGCCCTGCACCCTAAACCCTAAACCCTAAACCCTAAACCCTAAACCCTAAACCCTAAACCCTAAACCCTAAACTCCCTTGTCATCCCTGAAGCACCTTAAGGGCCCGCTCTCCGAGGTGCAGTTTGAGGTTGCCGCAGCGTATGGAGGCATCTGCAAAGGCGCCAAAGAGGACCTCCATAAGCTTGGGCTTAGGGTTTAGGGTTTAGGGTTTAGGGTTTAGGGTTTAGGGTTTAGGGTTTAGGGTTTAGGGTTTTAGGGTTTAGGGTTTAGGGTTTGGAGGGTTTGGAGGGTTTGGAGGGTTTGGAGGGTTTGGAGGGTTTGGAGGTTTGGAGGGTTTGGAGGGTTTGGAGGGTTTGGAGGGTTTGGAGGGTTTGGAGGGTTTGGTTTAGGTTGAGGGATTCGGGTTTAGGGTTCGGTGGCCTAATGTGATCCGATGCTGGGCTTAGGGTTGCGTGCATTGGGAATTACAACGTGTACACGTGCAGCAAATGTGGCACATGCCGAGTCAATCAGGTCGTTTGTGCCTGCAGCTGTGTCCTCACGCGGGGCTGGTCAAGCCTGGTTCTAGAATCCTAATCGCCGAAACCTGAAACCCTTCACCCTAAGTTTAGGGTTTAGGGTTTAGGGTTTAGGGTTTAGGGTTTAGGGTTTAGGGTCTAAACCTCCTTAACCCAAAGACCCCCAAGACCCTGAAGCCATCAAACCCTGGCCATGGGCTGCAGATGTGCGAGGGTTGCAAGTTTCAGGATGCATGTGCGGTTACAGGGTGGGGCCCCCTTACTATACTAACTGTAGTTAAGGGACTTATAACCTAACTTAGGGTCCTTATAACCCAATTTAGGGCCCTTATAACTCTACTTATAACTAGGGGGCCCCACCCTGTAGTCAACCATGAACCCTAATTAAACCCTAAACCTTGGGCAGGAGGTGTAAAACGAAGGCGCCTCATCCATGGGCAGGCCGCTGGCATCTCCGAGCTCCAAGATCTTCCTTCTAAGGGGTACAAGGAGAGACCCCTAGAAGGGACCCATAATCTGATTCCCCTATATAACCCCTAGACGTACCTTATCATTATAGAGCCCCTAATATAATGTACCTAAGTAGCCCCCAAATAACCCAAAGAACCCCTCAGGTCCCTTTATCAGGGTCCCTCCTTTAGTAACTTTAGTACCATGATCCTTGTCCTGGACCCAAAACTCTAAACCCGCCGAAATGAGAGTTTGCAAAAAATCAGGGACCCCTACTCCAAACCCACCAAATAGTAGGATTCCCTTATCATCAGGACCTCAATCAGGTACCCCCGAATTTCGGAAGACCCCAAGAACTGGAGCCTCGGACTGTCAACCTAAACCCTAAACCCTAAACCCTAAACCCCCAACCCCAAACCCTAAACCCTAAACCCTAAATCCAACCCCATCTGCGGCCCGGAAGCAGCATCTCAGTACCGTGGGAGCGTCCGGAGATGCTCTTCCTGGCGGGGGTGACTATAGCTGCCCCTAAACCCTAAACCCTAAACCCGAAACCCGAAACCCTAAACCTTCGCGGCCTTAGGGACTCCAGGGTTTAGGCGGCAAAAGCCTAACTGTAGGGTTTAGGGTTTAGTTAAAGGTTTAGGGCTCAGGGTTTAGGGTTCAGAGCGCTTTTCCATCCGAGGCGCAGGAGGATGGTGCAAGTGATGGTGTTGGCACCGATGCCCTTGTTCTGCATGTCCTTTCCCACGAAGCTTCGGGGGGGACATGCGGGGACACGTAGAAGCCGACAACATTGAAAGGGGGTTTAGGGTTTAGGGTTTCGGGGTTTGGGGGTGTAGGGTCTTCTTTTTTGTGTTTGCCGTTCTTGCAGCCTGCTGGTTTTACTCCAAGTGTTCATGAACAGCCCCAGTCAACGACTTCGGCATGTCTATTAGTCCCAATGGCTGGTTCTTAGTATAGGGAGCTCACCTCCCACCCCCACTTGGAGGTTCAGGGCACTCATAACCCGAATTCTAAGTCTACTTGTAACCCCGAAGTACCCCAAGTAGGCCATAGTAGGCTTATAAATTGGGGGTTCTAACCCTAAACCCCAGCCGTCGCCCATGGAATTCGGGGCAAAAAGCACCCATGAACCCCCTAAACCCCAAACCCCCAGATCAGGGTTACAAGTACCCATGAAGCTCCAAGTAGGTTGTTGCCCAGGAGGAGTTCAAGGGATGCAAGGGTTTGCCGACTAAGGGGTCTCTTGAAGTGTTGAAACACCCCATTTTTCCGGCCTGAGCGTCCTAAGCTTCCTAAATTCCTAAGCTTCCTAAACCCTAGACCCTTGACCCTACACCCTAAACCCTAAACCCTAAATCCTAAACCCTAAACCTAAACCCTAAACTTTCTACTTGCTAAATTTCTAAGCCCCAGCTTGAAAGCCCGAACCCTTGAGGCGCAGGAGCCCGTGAAGACCTCTTCTCTTATTGTTGGTTAGCAGGGAAGATGAGGGAATGAGGTGCCCTATCTTCCTGTATCCCCCCCCTATATATATGTATATGTATATATGGTACCCCCCCCCTATATATATATATATCCCCTTTGAGGGATTATATAGGGCACCCTATTAAACCCTTAACCCTAAACCCTAAACCCTAAATCCTAAACCCTAAACCCCTAAACCCCAAACCCATTCCCTGCTAACCAACAGTAAGTTCTGGGCCAAGGGGCGCTCACCAAGCGCCAGGCAGCGCTGCGGTCGCCCTTCCTTGGTCCGTGTTGTCGGGCTTCAGGATTAGGGCTGAGGGTTTACTGTACATGTATGGTTCAGGGTTTAGGGTTTAGAGTTTCGGGTGTGGGGTTAGGGGTTAGGGTTGAGGGTTTGGGCTTCAGTTAAGGGTTTGGGGTTTGCCCTAAACCATAAACCAACCCCTCGCCCGCTCGAACCCTGCAGGCGTGTAGTGGTGAAGTATGTTTGATGAAAGTTCAGGCGTCTATCCAACGATGAACATGTAGGTTTAGGGTTTAGGGTTTAGGGTTTAGGGTTTAGGGTTTAGGGTTTAGGGTTTAGGGTTTAGGGTTTAGTGTTTGGGGTTTAGGGTTTAGGGTTTAGGGTGCAGTGACACTACCAGCTCCACATGCAACTTCGAGCGGCTGGATGATGGCATTCAGGAGGGCATGGTAGGTCACCTCAGCGAGCTTCACATCACCGGCCACTCACCCTAAACCCTAAACCCTAAACCCTAAACCCTAAACCCCCAAACCCTAAACCCCTAAACCCTAAACCCTCACCCCCCTTCAGCCCTTGTCCCTAAAACCCGTTTTGGGTGCCATTTGGGCGAATCTTGTATCGTCCTTGAGCCGGCTACTCGCCATGATCTGAACAAAAAGTCCCCAGCCTGGTTGGCTTAAACCCTCTGAAGCCCTGAAACCCTAATCCCTAAACCCTAAATCCTAAACCCTAAACCCTAAACCCTAAACCCTAAATCCTAAACCCTAAATCCTAAACCCCAAGTAGCCTACCTGGCAAGAAGGAACTCTTGCAACCACACGGCTGCTCTCTATCGGACAGGCTTAGGCTCTGTCGAGTTCGGGGATTAAGGCTTCGGTGCGCTGAGTCTGCAGCAGCTAAGGGTGTGTTACTTCTGGGTGGCTGGGTGTAGGGTTTAGGGTTTAGGGTTTAAGGTTTAGGGTTTAGGGGTGTCGGGTTTAGGGTTTAGGGTTTAAGGGTTTAGTGTTTAGTATACGCTGCCAGCAAGTCGCTCGGCTTGGCATCAGACCAGCAGCAGTCATGTCACCTGGGCACCCGGCATCTTAAACACAAACGTGTGAGTCGGGCAAAGTACAGCCCCGCCTCAGAAGCCTACAAAGCCTCGAGCACCGAAAATGCAAAAACCCGCCCAACCCCGAAACCTACAGCCCAAAACCCGCACGGCAAGGGTTTGGGTCTTGGGTTTGGAATTTAGGGTTTAGGGCTTAAGGTCTAGGATTTTGCGGCTTTTAACATCCCAATCAAATCAACCCGGGGATGCTAGTATGCCGGAGTGCTGAAGATGCGGTGTGCTGCCTGGGTGTCGCCGACGCCGAGGTGGCCTCACGCGTCGGATGTGCATCATGCTTGAAGGGTTTCGGGTCGAAGGGTTTATAGGGTTTATGTTTAGGGTTTAGGGTTTAGGGTTTAGGGTTTAGGGTTTAGGGTTTAGGGTTTAGGGTTTAGGGTTTAGGGTTTAGGGTTTAGGGTTTAGGGTTTAGGGTTTAGGGTTTAGGTTTCAGGGTTTGGGGTTTGAAAGGGTTGAAAGGGTTGAAAGGGTTTGGGGTTCAGGGCAACACCTAGAGCCTCCACCCTGAAACCTGAAACATAAAACCTAAAAGGCTGCACCCTAGGGTTTAGGGTTTAGGGTTTAGGGTTTAGGGTTTAGGGTTTAGGGTTTAGGGTTTAGGACCCAGGCCCAAGACCGCAATAAAGGGCTGCGCAAGCCTCGAGACTCAATGACTCTTACGTACAAGGAGGGGCCCCCTTACTACCTATAGTTTAGGGACTTCTAGCCTGAGTTAGGATCTTTGTAACCCAATATTTAGGGTCCCTATAACTCTACTTATAACTTCTTGGAGGTTCATGGTTACTTATAACTTATAACCCCAATTATGCGTCCACATGCACCCTACTTAGCGGACTTAGGGGACTCACTGGGCTTATCAGTGTACATTATAAGGAGGGTTACAGGTCCCCTGAACCTCCAAGTACTTAGAACAGGGGGGTCCCCTGCTTGCTTGTAAGCTCCTGGACCAGCGTGCGCCCTTGTAGGGCGTACGCTGCATCGGATTTAGGGCTGGGTTTTGGACTTAGGGTTTAGGGTTCAGGGTTCAGGGTTTAGGGTTGCGGGTTTGGGGTTTGGGTGTCTAGGCCGTAGATTTGGGGGGAAGGCTGCAGATATATACAAGCATCAAGCAGAGAGTTCCTCAAACTCCAACCAAGGACGACAAGAGGTAAGACAGGGGCCTGAATACTGCGAATAGTTTTAATAGGACTTGTTTGTTGGGGGGGGGGAGATTTCTAGCATGACTACAAAGGGGCCACAAGGGAATACCACCACCAATTATGCCGACCCCTATGATATCTTTGGGCCCGTGCCTTTCATGATGGTGTTGTAGCTGACGACATCGGCCAAGGACGCCGCCTTCATCTCCTGGCTCAACTCTGGCTCTGGTGATGGGGTTTAGGGTTTAGGGTTTAGGGTTTAGGGTTTAGGGTTTAGGGTTTAGGGTTTAGGGTTTAGGGGGTAGTTCCCGAAATTCGGGCCCCTTTTGGGGTGTTATATGGGGGTGTCCAGAGGGTTACCCTTTTGGGGGGTCCTCCCTTTAGGGGGACTCTGCTCTATTTGGGGTATATAAGGGGTACCGCCCATTTTGGGAAATGCCCATATACGGCACCCTTTCAAAGAAGGACCCCACAAGGGACCCTTAGCTTGGAGAACTACCGAAATCTCAAGTGCCCAGAGCCCTCCTCCAGAGGCTTGCCACACACACTTCCTATACCCTCAACTTGATGGGGGCTAGGGTTCAGGGTGAACAGGGTCTAGGGGTTAAGTTTGTAAAGTTCCGGATCTAGGGTTTAAGGTCCACAGGGTTCAGGGCTTAGGATTTAGAGTCTGCCTAGGGTGGCGTATATGCCCTCTGTGCGTGTGTGAGGGGTGTCTTGCAAATGAACAACCCATCAATTTCAAAGGCAAAAAACCCTAAACCCTAAACCCTTATGCTCGGACCCCGGCGTCTCAGCATCAGGAAGCCTATCTACACCCCAAGCCCTAAACCCCTAAGCCCCTGAAAGCGCTGGGGTTTAGGGACTCAGGGTTCAGGGCTTTAGGAACCCTATTTAAACCCTAAACCCTAAACCCTAAACCCCAAACCCCAAAACCCTCCCGATGCCGCATCAAGCTCGCACCTGGAAGAAGTCCAGCGCCCGTGGCAGGTCGCGGCACTCGATGCAGGCGTCCAGCAGGCAATTGTAGACCTTGCTGTGTGGTTTAGGGTTTAGGGTTTGGGGTTTAGGGTTTAGGGTTTGGGGTTTAGGGTTTAGGGTTTAAGGGTTAGGGTTTAGGGGTTGCAGGGCTTCGGGGCCTATAAGGGCCTAAGGGGTTGAGTGAAGTGTAGACCTTGCTGTGTTTCAGGGCTTAAGGGCCTATAAGGGTCTAAGGGATTTTAATGGTTTAAGGGCTTATCAGGATTTAAGAGGTTTAAGGGGTTGTAGACATGACCCATTTTGAGCAGCTCTTTGTTCTAGAAAGCTTTCTATCTAGTTCTAACCCGGGCTTGAACCTGCCAATGCGCTGTTCCTCTTTCAGACAGAGTCTCATGTCATCTCCCCAAACGAGGCCACTCTGCCAGAGAAGACATATATTGCCGACTTCTCTTACATTGCAGTCCTTTTGGGGGGGTCCTTGTTATAAGGCAGCCCCCTCTTCCTTAGGGCACCCAAGAAGGGAACCAAATTTAGAGAACTGACCATCTATTGTCGGAACTACTGGCTATACTGGCTGGCAGTAGGGATCCATGAAGCCTCAGCGAAGAAGTTCTAACCGAACAAGCACGAAGACGACCTGCAAAACAAGGCACCACGACGGTCACCGCGCCACACTCCTGCCACGGCTTTCTTGGAGGGTCATGGGCACTTATCATCCCTACATAGTAGCTGGGCTAGAAGTAGACTTATACTTGGGGGGGGGGTAGTAATTACCGACGGTTTAAGGGTTCAGGTGAATCAACAGCGGGTATTGACTTTGAAGGGCTTCGGCTTACGCTGCTGACCCTGCGCGTCCTTCAACTTTTCAAAGATATCGAGCGCAGCGTGCAGGTTCCCGTCTTTCCCGAAGTTGCTGATCATCCGTGCCTGCGCGAGTTTCTGCGGGTAGTTGCATGGATTCTTCGTATGGGCCCTTAAAGAAGGGCCCCGTATATACCCCTGACATACCCTATAAACCCAAGGGCCCATACAGCAGAACCCTTGAAAGGTGGTAAGGGACCGTATTAAGGGCCCATGTAGGGTTTAGGGTTTAGGGTTTAGGGTTTAGGGTTTAGGGTTTAGGGTTTAGGGTTTAGGGTTTAGGGTTTAGGTTTTAGGGTTTAGGGCCTTTACCTTCACAATCAACACAGCAAAGTCGTAAGCAGCTACCGACCTCCTACAAACAGTTTGCCAGCGCCGACAGAGATTCAGGGGGCCTCGCATACAGCACTTCCTGCAGAACCACCGCCCATCATGGAACTCAAAAACGTAGACAACCCGGTCCTGTAGTGCCCTGGGGACTTTGGGTTAGGCCTCGGTGAAGCCCTAAAGACTCCTCAAGCCATATCCTGCAAACCCTATTTGCCCTGAATACGCCATGTAAGTCCTGTCAACCCTACGAACCTATAGGCCCTGCAACCCTATGATCACCAAAAACACTATAACGCCACAAATCCTGTAAGCCCTTTCAACACCATACAGACAACACCCATGAACACCCTGTAAACATACACTCAAACAACACGATAACCCCTACACACCCTACAAACACTATAAGCCCCAACAGCCCCATAAACACGACAAACCCAACAAAGAGCTGTACGCACCACATGGCTGCTAAACCCAAAACCCTAAACCCTAAACCCTAATAAACCCTGCAATGTCTTAAAGCTGCCGGAGATTAGGGTTTGGCATTTGGGACCTTGGGACCTGGGGGCCTTAGTTTAGGGAGTACTGGCAGCGAGCCTACTGTAACCAAACACGAAAAAAAGTAATCCCCACTAGGGATCAACCCCTAAACCTTAAACCCTAAACCCTAAACCCTAAACCCTAAACCCTAAACCCTAAACCCTAAACCCTAAACCCTGCAGCCCCGCCCTTGCTACTCCAATCTTGCCAAGGCTACCCCCCCAAAGGACCCAAGTGCTTCAGGGTCTGGGGCCTTTGGGGCTTGCGTGACTTCCCGTAAGCCTTTAGGGTTTAGGGTTTAGGGTTTAGGGTTTAGGATTCAGGGTTTAGGGTTTATTAGGATCGGTCTCAGCATACGAACAACGCCTCAGTCCTGAGGAGATGGGAAAACAAAGACGATAAGAACAGAATTGCCTGGAACCTGGTTGAAGGGGTATGACGAACCCTGAACCCTAAACCTTAAACACTAAACCCCAGCCCGGAAAAACTCACCCCTAGACCCTAATCAGCCCTCAAACCCCCAACCCCAAACCCTAAACCTACACAGCCCTAAACCGTGATTATGTTGTGATGTGCGCTGGGCGCCTGTCGGCTTACATCTTGGCCGGCGCCGCCAGCATCGGGGTGCTCCTAACGAGTTCTTGCAGAAGTACCACACGCAAGGCCTCCACACAGGGGGTATCTAAGGGCACTATGCGTGTGATGAGAGGATCTAAAAATCTACAACCATGGTGTATACACATACTGCACATGGTACTCATCGCAAGCTGGCGTCTGGCATCTTTGATGTGTAGGGGGGCTTTGTACTCGCAGATCGGATATCTCAAGCCCAGAACCTCAATACCTTCTGGCATGGCACCATGGGCATGGAGCAGGTCTTCACATTCGCGAAGGCAAACGTAGCAGCCTGAGAAAAGGCACACTTCTGGACTTCCGAGTGGCCCTCGGCTGTGCATCAAAGTGCATCATGAATTGGTCTGAATTTCACGCCTCAGTTGCGCAACCACGCCCGTTTTAGCTTCAGAAAACCTGGGCATCGAGCCGTTGGTTGTGGAGCTGCTTGCTGGTCCACACTATCACTGGCGAGCCAGCTGATACAGCTCAGACTGGGACAGGGACAAGCCAATAGTCTCTGCGTTCTTCTTGTGGTAGTGCATGGCAACACGTTGTGTAGAGATACCATCCAGGCCAATGATCAGTTGACTGCTGTCTTTGTTCTCCAGAACCCCGGCCAAATCTTGCAGGCAATCTTCCAACGTGCCTCCTTTGGGCGTTTGGCGAAACCAGGCCTCCACATCTTCCTGTGCCTCCTCCTGGGAGAGGTGTAGGTCACTGAACTCGTTGATCCGATTGTGAGTGCGGATACAAGCCTGAACGTACCAATAGGAAACTGCGATGATGATGAAGACCATGATGCAACCCACCAAGAACAAGAGCACGAGCCCTGCCAGTGTCTTAATACCCGCTGCATAACGGATTGATGCGGGGATGGCAAAGAAGCAGCCCGACATGAAGAGCAAGTAGGGGCCCCTCGTCCCATGTCCCACCCTCCGCATGAACTCCTGGCAGCCCTTGTCGCTGGACACTTCACCCACACACAACAACATGACCACGGTGAGAACGGTGGACGCAAGAAACCCGAAGACTCCAAGCACATAGAAGACCATTGAAATGTCGTTTAGGGCTGGCAGAGCATTCTCAAGCTGACTGGCACTGAGCTGTTGTCCGATGTAGCCATCTAAGAAGGCAAAGCCACTACCTACGTAGTCTTCCTCCAGCCAATCTGCGACACTGTCGAAGCTCATGGGCATAACGATGGTGAGCATCAATGCACTGATCAAACCTGTGTTGGTGCACTCGCTCACCAAGTTGTCCTTAGCCCCGCTGGTAACGTGCTTGTCCTGCTTAATGAGGTTGTCCTCCAACAGCATGAACCGTCCCGTCCAGTGGGAGACAATGCAAGCCAAAAAACTTTCTGGAGCTTTGGGGTTTCCAGTCTTCTCCACAATATTTCTCCGGCAAGAAATCCGCGACCCTCTTGATCGGGATGCTATCGCCTTCCACTTTCGCTTGTGGCTCTGGCATGGCGGGTGCAACGGCTTCCAACATCTATGTCTGCTGTGCCGGGGCTGAAGCTTGTGCCAAAACATGTGATACCACAACCCTGACAGCAAATACAAGGTTGCTACGAGCCCCGATATCCCGGAGACACAGGGCACCGGTTTCTGTTTATATGAGATCTCCCTTGAATGTCTTACAGCAAGGATAGAAAAGGGTGCTGAAAGTCAGAGAGGAAACGTCAAAAAGGTCAAAGCCCGATAAACCCTAAACCTCTTCCCAAGGCCGAATCAACCCTAAACCCTAAACCCTAAACCCTAAACTCTAAACCCTAAACCCTAAGTCACCATGGCCGTACGTTATAGTGTTATGGAGTTGCTCCTTTAACATTCGGGTAGAGGGAGTGTTTTAACATGGAGCCCCTAAACCTAAACCCGAAACCCTAAACCCTAACCCTAAGCAGCAGGCTCCTGAAGCAGCTTGGCCGCCTTGCGGTTGCCTCGAGTTCTTACCATTCTTGACTGTGAGAGGCCGTTACAAACTTGTGCAGGGGTCAGGGTTTAGGGTTTAGGGTTTAGGGTGTAGGGTTAGGGACTTAGGCCCGACAGGAATCTAAGCATCAAGCGTCTTCTCCTGTGCCATGACACTGCGCCTTATCCCGAAAGCCTTACACCCTAAACCCTAAACCCGAACCCTAAGTCTCTAGACTCAAGCCTGAACCTTACTGTTGGCTAGTAGGGAATGGGGGAATAAGGCACCCTATACCCTAAACACTGAACCCTAAACCCTAATTCCCTCATTCCCTGCTAACCAACCAAAACTACCGGGTGGGGCCCCCTAGTTATAAGTAGTGTCATAAGGGCCCTAAATTGGGTTATAAGGACCCTAAGTTAGGTTATAAGTCCCTTAACTACAGTTAGTATAGTAAGGGGGCCCCACCCTGCAATCCCCAAGTCCCGGGACCAAGCCCCGCGACCCTACGCAAAGCGACTGCAGGGCCGAGGGCTTCAGGGGTTCAGGGGTTTATAGGGTATAGGGTTTGGGGTTTAGGGTTTAGGGTTTAGGGTTCAGGGGTTTATAGGGTATAGGGTTTGGGGTTTAGGGTTAGGGTTTCAGGGGTTTAGGGTTTAGGGTTTAGGGTTTAAGGTTTCAGGGGTTTAGGGTTTAGGGTTATTTGGGGGTCTATCTTATGGGGCCCCCTATTTTCGTATCAACCGCCACATTGAGCAAAGCAACCTCCCTAAGCCCTAGGCTTGGCCCCAGAAACCCTAAAGCCCCCGGGAAAAGCACACAGAAACTGTTTAAAGATCTTAGGTATCCTGATTCTGCAGCCCTAAACCCTAAACCCCAAACCCTGAAACCTAAACCCTAAACCCCAAACCCCAAACCCTAAGCCCAAACCCTGGACCCTGTACCCTAAACCAAAACGCTAAACCCTACAAACTACACCCTAAACCCCAACCCTAAACCCTAAACCCTAACCCCTAAACCCCTGAAGCCCTGAACCCTAAACCCCAAACCCTAAAACCCAAATCCTAAAACCCTCAAACCCTAAACCCCAAACCCGAAACCCTAAACCCTAAACCCGTAAACCCTACATCAGACAGGTGGCTGGCAGTGGAGCACTGGGAGGCCAAAGCGTCCAGCGTGGAGCGGGCCAAGGGCGTGCCTTTTTAGGAGACATGCCTTGGGGAACGCATGAATCTAAAAAATCGGAGTTTAGGGTCTAGGGTTTAGGGTTGGGATGTTCCCTCTGATACTATATACAGTCCCTTAATCGTGATTTAACAAACTGTTTGTATGGGCGAACATCCTAACACACGTGAAACCGAAGATACTACTCAACATGCAGGGGAAATATTCCCTATCCTGCTATGCTAAAAGGGTTCAGGGTTTAGGGCTTAGAGTTTAGGGTTTGGGGTTTGGGGGTCATATACCCCATGCTACTATAGTCCCCCGAAAGGTAACATAGACCATGAACCCTTCGAGGGTTAATTTGGTCCCCAAGGTGGGGCGGGGGGGATTGCGAATAGTAGGAAGGGTCCATTGCTTGGGGGCCTTCTGCGATATATGGGAACCTTAGGGGTTTAGGGTTTAGGTTTTAGGGTTTAGGGTTTAGGGTTGGGGGGGGGGGGGGGGCTGGGGTTGAGGGAGGTTAGGGTTCAGGGTTCAGTTTATCAACGATGCGGGTTTTGGGGTCACGGGATATGGGTTGAAGGGTGGTTCAGGGTTTAGGGTTTAGGGTTTAGGGTACACTGGAACGTTTTCTCGTACTGCGGAAACAACCGAATTCCAAAGGGCCAAGGCATACTTTCACAAGGAATACCCCAAACACAGCAGTCACCATGTAGCCCCCTTTGGAGGCCGAAACGTCAAGCTCGTGGACAGCAGGGGCAGTGAGGTGTTTAGGGTTTAGAGGGTTTCGAAGCTTTAGGCGCTACTGGGTTTAGTTTAGGCTTCCGGGTTTAGCGTGGAAGGGATAATGGTATTCGGATTTAGAGCTGAGGGCCAGCAGGCGTATGCTGTGGATGGTCAGGAACTTGCTGAGTTCTGTTCAGTGCTTGCTTGTTTCAGACCTTTCCTGAACTCTTACTAGTTCTTAGTATTATGTTGCCATAACATGTACCCTTAATGGGACTTAGGCACCTTCCGTCCCCCCTTTATATCCCTAAACTTTAAACCCTAAACCCTAAACCCTTCAAGGACAATCAGACAAGAAAACCAGCCAGGGCAAAGGCAGCCGCAAAGGCAAAACCCTACTTTCAAAGAACCATGACCTTCCAAGTAGCCCGAAACCCTAAACCCTAAACCTTGAACCCCACTAAACCCTAAGTCCTAAACCCTAAACCCTAAACCCTAAGCCCTAAACCCTAAACCCTAGAGACATCCCCAAGTCCTGAACCAGAAAGACCCCCCAAACCCTGAACCTACCGGATCTTAGCAGGACATGAGGCAACGACAGGTGCCTCCTAAACCCTAAGCCCTAAACCCTACATCATCCCTGGCTGTTTACAAGGTACCGAACTCCCTCATTCCCACCAAAACCCAGCTTCCCGACTAAGTGCCAGTAAATTAACCCTTAACCCTAAACCCCAAACCCCAAACCCCAAAACCCTAAACCCTAAACCCTAAACCAAACAACAACCAGACCCCCATAGGGCAAAGCGACCTGTCTGGGCCAAGATGTCCTCAACCAGCACCTGCATGGCCACGTGGTCGTTGGAGTGGCCACGCACCTGGTAGGGTTTAGGGTTTAGGGTTTTAGGGTTTAGTAGGGTTTAGTAGGGTTTAGTAGGGTTTAGTAGGGTTTAGTAGGGTTTTAGTAGGGTTTAGTAGGGTTTAGTAGAGTTTTAGGGTTTTAGGGTTTTAGGGTTTTAGGGTTTTGGGGTTTTAGGGTTTTAGGGTTTTAGGGTTTTAGGGGGGGTAGGGTTAGGGGATTAGGGGATTAGGGGGTTAGGGGGTTAGGGGGTTAGGGGGTTAGGGGGTTCGGGGGTTCGGGGGTTAGGGGGTTTCAGGGTTTAGGGTTTAGGGTTTAGGGTGGACTATCTTCCTAGGTTTTCGCAGGGTAGGAGGCGTTGGAGTTTAGGGTCCTTAAAAGGGGACCCCTTGTATACCCCTTATATACTCAATACAAGCCAAGGGCACATAGGGTTTAGGAGGGTAGGATGCTTTAGAGTTTAGGGCCTAGGACCCTAAACCCTAAACCCTAAACCCTAAACCCTAAACCCTAAACCCTAAACCCTAAACCCTAAATCAAGGGTCGAGGAAGGGGGGGGGGGGGTTGAAACCATCACACCCTAAGAGAGGCCCTCTGAACTGTGAAAGCCAAAGCGCTTTGGCCAGTTACATGGGCTTGAGTACGGGCCCTTTGAAGGGGGGCAGCCCACACATCAGAACCCGTTAAAGAGGGTAAGGGAGCATATTCATGGCCAATGAAACTACCCTCGGACAACGAGTGCAACCTAGAACCTATACGCTTCACCCCTTGAGGTTTACCGCAGCTCCTCAACCTTAAGACCCTAAGCCCTGAATCTCTAGGTAGGCACCGATGTATGTACTCATATTTTCCCGTATTAATGGCCCGAAGAGGATCATGAAAGTTTGCAGTCTTTTCAGGAACCCCCTAAACCCTAAACCCTAAAAGCCCTGAACCTTAAACCCCGAGCCCCCGGCAGCCCACAACCTATGTAGACTCCCACCCAGCTGCAAAGTCTCAAAGCCAGACTTCTCCACCCTGAAACCCTGAACCCTAGACCCCTTAAACTCATGGGATCCCATACTATCCCACAACTCAGACTTCTCCACCCTGAAACCCTGAACCCTAAACCCCCTAACTCATGGGATCCCATATTATCCACAACTCAGCGCACACCGAAGGGTCAGCAGGGGCTGTTGGGGTTGCCAGGCAGTTTGCTAAGGTGTGGTCCCAAACAGCCTTCCATGCTAAACCCTAAACCCTAAACCGGGACACCCTAAACCCTAAACCCTAAACCCTAAACCCTAAACCCTAAACCCTAAACCCTAAACCCTGAACCCTGAACCCTGAACCCTGAACCCCAAACACTAAACCCTGAACCCTAAACCCTCAACCTGGAAACCCTACTTGCAAAGCCCTCAATCCTCAGTCTACGAATCCCCATGAGATGGCCCGAAACCCTAAAGAAGGTTTCGGTCTTCTCCGGTGCCGGGGCGCCAAGAGCACCAGGAACTTCTCCGTCTTGTGGACAGAGGCCAAGCCTCTCTAGGGTTAGGGTTTAGGGGTTTAGGGGTTTAGGGGTTTAGGGGTTTAGGGGTTTAGGGGTTTAGGGGTTTAGGGGTTTAGGGGTTTAGGGGTTTAGGGGTTTAGGGGTTTAGGGGTTTAGGTGTTTAGGGGTTTAGGGGTTTAGGGGTTTAGGGGTTTAGGGGTTTAGGGGTTTAGGGGTTTAGGGGTTTAGGGGTTTAGGGGTTTAGGGGTTTAGGGGTTTAGGGGTTTAGGGGTTTAGGGGTTTAGGGGTTTAGGGGTTTAGGGGGTTAGGGGGTTAGGGGTT